TGCGCAATCTGTATTAGTTACACAACGTCATTTTGTCATCATTTACAAAGTATAGATCGATATTACAATTTTTGTCATTATACTACCATGGTCATTCACCATTCGAACTCTCTTGTTAAATATATATATCCTATCAGTTTAAAAGTAACATGTTTACAAGTGCAAACTATCAGTAGCAATAATCATAATACTAACTAATCTAACTAGACTAAAGAGTTATAAATATGATATTTTGTCATTTCGTTAAAACTATTGCAAATTAGTGCGGAACAACATATTACCTATACGTGTATACACAGTAATAATAATATTATTATAAATAATAATAATAAACTAAACTTTCTTAAATACATGGAAAAATTTACATTTATATGAAGGATTCCATGACTCAGATGATTAATTCAATCATTAACTAAAAGAAGTAAATTGTTCATTAATAATTATTTAATTTAAAATAGTTTTGATTAATAACTGTTGAGTTTATATGTATAGGGAAGATTCAAATTTACACATTAGACTCTATTTATAACAAAAATGAGAATCACTTATAACCAGTATTTCACCGAAAAAAAATATTTAGAATGAAAACTGAAGTTCTTAACACAAAAAATAAAACGAATAATATATTGGATTATCAACAAAGAAGTTAATAGGTCAGTACGATCTGTTATGCTTAGAAGTAGTGGACATTTTAAAAAAATTAACATTAACACACACAGAAACAATCATCAGAAGTTTTCTGTACTCAAATACAAATACAAGCACGTATTGTGTAATATCTACGTTTTAGATGTAATTTCAGCTATTTCATTAGACTAATGTCGTTGTTTGACTACATACTATTACAATAAAAGCTATACAAATATTGTCAGCAAATGTAATGGATTTTGCAAAAGAACAGTCAAAATGAAAATGCTTTTGTTTTGTCATGCATCAGCTAACCTCACTGTATTGTTTTGATAGTCTCAATGTATGTTGAGTCCACAAGTCATCTGGAAATGATGTGATTTTGCTTCTAATACGTTGAGCATCTGCACTGTATCTTATCTAGAATGAATACATATATATTTGTTTTTAGGTCAGAAAATGTTGTAAATTTTATTAAACGCGTAGACATGAAGAGTCAACGAATATGTGTTCATTTACTTTAAAAAATGAATTGATTTTAAGAATGGTTTATATGACTATGTAGTGTTCAGTAATCATTACAGTGTACTGAAAAATGGATGATGACAGAACTAATAGGTAATCCAATCACTTACTAGTATACATTTGTATCCATTAAAAATGAATTGTACAGTCTAGGTGTCGTACTCCCTAGGACTAATTAACACAAAATATCTTCAGAAGTCTGAAAATAAACCTATACTTTCTCTGAGTTTCGACCATATTTAGTTTATTGCCACAAATACGCCATACTATCTAGATGTAACTGTTTATTGGGTGTTCCAGTCAGTAATTAAACCTAGTTTACTTATGCCTCTTGCTTGTAATAGCCAAAAACTTTAAATAATAGATAAAGATAGACCGACAGAATGATAACTTTTTATGCAAAAAGTAAAATCTTGTTTTATTACTCTATCCAAGGCATTTTGTTTAACAATAAACCGTTCTATATATTATATAGGGCTGTAGTAAGAATATAGCCTTCTTATACTCATTAAGCTTATACAAGTGAAAGGGACTTGATGCACATCTTTCTAGTATATAACTATAAATACAACATATAATTTGTGATTTTTTTCTTATCGCTCCAAAAAACACATGACCGAATTGTGTACATAGTCGGGTAACTGACTGACTGACTAACTAACTACTTTAATCTCAATATATACTTTCATTGTCTTTTGATAGATAGATTTTTATCCGAGTTTTGTTCATTTTGCCTGAACATGGGTTACATTGTGTTGATGACTTCTTGACGAAGAGTGTTTTTTAAATAAAATAATTATAATTATAAATGAGACTGATTAAAACAATCATTTGAAGATAGTCCTAAATTTAATTTCAGATTCTCTTATACATTAGTAAGAAACGGGACAAAATACATTGTCTTATTAGGAAAATACTTTTCTGTATTTCCCTATGCCATTCAGTTGAATAGCTTTCATAACTCGGAATTCATTAAAATATTTTCTGTACTTTCAATTAAATATTTCACTCAGTGAAGGAAATACATTTAAACGACCAGTCAAGCATAACTGAAGAATAAAAACTTTTATAGTGACAAAATAAATCCGTCAACCAGTACACCTTCTTATCAACAATCTTGTGCTTTCAAACAATCAATCAAGTGAATGGTGATCTCATAAACGTGTTTATTACAACCTACGAACAAATAACATGAACAAAACTAGCCGGGTTTTTTTAACAAAATATTAGGCTTTGAAGTATATGGAATTTGTTGTAAATATTCTTTAGAATTATTCGAGTCATGGCGAAATAATACCTATGTTAAGATATTTTAGACAACGGTCAGAGAATTTCAATGACCAACAACAAATATAAGACATGTGTGTGCATTAATTCTTTATAACTTGAAAGTGTGTCTTTCTATGGTTTGTATAATTTCCTGTTTGAACGCAAAATAGGCGATCAACTTGCAGAACAATTTGCTGAAGATTATTTGTTTCATTTTCAGATTTCAATTATCTCAGTCTCAATGGGAATTCTTGAATTTTGGGTTAAACAAATTTCAGTTCAATAAAAAATGTACATTCTATGGTAGATAGCATATGACTTAGTTAAATGAAAGAAGATCCTATTGTGTAATAAGGTGGGATATCATGATAAACCCTCATTAGTATAAACTTTTATCATATTTATTTTGTTGTTGAACTGTTGGTAAACATAGATATAAACCTACTAGGAGACGTCGAAGAAGGTCGACCTTGGGTGACAACAGAGAGTCTGCAGAAAACCACGAACTCTGTTTTCTTGTTAGTGAGCATCTGTCTGCAAGTTCGTCTTTAATCTTCAGAAAATCAGTGCTTCTCATGAGACTCAGAGCTGCTTCACTCAGCTTCATAGTCTTAGACGTTATTACTGAGAATCAGTCAAATGTAAAGAGCAGCTTTATTCACCTACGCTTAACTGTCAATCAGTTTTTAGATTTGAACCCAGTTTGACATACTTTGGCGTGGTTCCGTTGAATCTCAAACAAAGATTGTATCTTTGTTAAGGACTGTCAGATATTGACAGATATTCAAAAGGTCATGAAGACCAGTTATTTTCAGACCTTGACCGACATAACTAGAAATGATGCTCTAAATCCTCATCATCATTTTGTCATTTTCATATATGTCATTACTGCCATTATTGATCGCTGAAAACTGTAAGTAAATACAATTTAGTTGTGACTGAATAACTTTTGCTTTGCTCCAGCTAATAAAACTGTTTCGTAAGTCATTATTATAAACTATGTAATAACCGATCATAATGTTAGGACAGTAATAGAATCAACAAACAATTAGGTAATAATTCTATAATTTCCGTGAAGTAATAGAAGTTGATTTTTATTGATTAAATATAGTCATAAACGTAGTTATATATTGTGTATGTTAAACATATTTTGTTAAAACATTCCACAGAAACTTCATTTGTTAGGCGTCTCTAATAAAAGTGAAATTCAAAGTTGACATTATCTACTTTGTATCTATCAAGAGTCAAATTATTATGAGCACGAATAAAAAGTGGCTAGCAGTGAAATCCACGATGCGTTTCGTCCTGGTTGCGACTTGTCAGAGGGATATACCTCTATTCGGGAGTTGATGTTCACTCCGAGACTCGAACACAGTATTGTTCACTTTGAACGCGACAGATGATACTGAATTCGGGTTCCGGAGTCAATAAATCTGAAATGAACCTTCAACCGATTGACATGTCCCGAATAGGTCTAAACGCACGTCCTGGATTTCAATGCTGTCCACCAACCACTTTCCTTTGAATGCTTATGAATTCATAGCAATATCGAGGCGATCCGCTCAGGATGCATACATTTGCAAAAGAGACGGGCCAACTGGAGTCCTAAACATCAATAGGAAGACTTGAATAACTAATACAAATAAGTCTATTTTTTCTGTAAACTTCCTGTAATGAAATAATGTTCATATACTTAGGAATAAATGTTCACTCTAATGATTGGTGTTATTTCCTGTTGTATTTCATTCTACAAAACGTTTAGTAGGAAAGATTTTAAATCATCTATACGTCTATCATATTTGTAATTTGGATGAGAAATTATCCAAAAATCTTTACGTTGGTGAGAATAAATTTCCGTAAATCAAGAGACTTCATCATTAGGTTCTTAAATTACAAAACTTCAAAATGAAATTTCATTTACCGCATAAATGTACATCAATTTGATTTACATATGTATTTTCATCTATCACAAACTTCTGTTTATCTCAACAATTATTTTCACTTAGTAAAAGTAATTTATGATAGTCAGTCTGGCTTGAATAAGGTAGTTGTAATAGGTGTAAATTTACTCAAGTCACCAGCTAAGTATTGGTCATCCTAAAACTTATTGATTGGAATTGATTGTATATGTTTCTTTTTCTGTGTATAAGTTTAAGTTGCATAAATGTATTTTTTAATACTTTTGTGCATGGAGTATGATAATATCATGTCATTTTGATTTATCCTTTTTCATCACATTTAGATACTTACTATCAAAAACAATAATATTATTCATTTGATCAAACCATCCTTTCAGACGCTAACAGATTTCTAGTATCTATGTATTTGAATAGTAAAAAGCTTTGAATGAAATTTCAAATGAATCATGGGTAGATACCTATTTAATCACTTATTATTTATTAGTAAATTTTAAATGTTTGTTCAAAATACCAGGTCACTTTTGATAAAAAGAGACTATTTCTAGTCCTTAGTCCATGGTTAAAATTATGTCTAGCTTGATCAATAAAAATGTCACGCATTAAAGAATGGTCATCAAAGTGATCTAAAGAAAACAACTAGGATTACAGAAAAACACTTACACTGCTAAACATTCTTGTATTGTTAGCTACTCTCAATAGTTCTGGTGTATCCGGAATGAATGTAAATGAGGTTGGCTTTGGAGTGTGTCTACACAAAAATGAAAAGTAAATTGTAGGCAACATATTGGAAAAATAAATTTCCAGAAATATAATTAAAGCTTCTTGACCTAAATGAACGATTAATTTATGAACACTATTTTCATTTGGAAATAGTTCTTGTCACGAAGTAGGATCTACCATTATATCACTAAAAACCATCGACCGATGAATGGATTTTTTGACCTACTTCGAATGTCAAGAGTAGTGTCCGCTTACTGATTCGCCTGAGGTTGAATCCAAAACACAACCATGTAGAATTTAAACCATCGACGTTTAGACCAGCAATTCACAATTCTGACACTAGCGTGTATCAGCATTTCGTAATGTGAACGATCAAATTTAAACTAACGCTAATGTGACTACAAAAAGATCTGAACATCCTGAGTTTTGCATTTGTATTGGGTTTCTGGTGAGTTTATTGGACTGTAAGAAGTTCGTCATTTAGTTTTACACGGTTTTAGAAATTATCCCAGGTAGTGGCAGTTTGGGAAGAAAATTATCTTTGTAGACTCATTCAAACTTTGCTCACTTGTATAAAACCGCAGTGTATATGTTTGACTTAGTTGGAGTATATAAGGTGGATATTATCTGGGCGCAAAACTACTCAGAATCCCTTATAATCATCAATAATTTCTGTGACTTATTAGGACCAAACTTGCCAAAAAAATTGTTGAACGTTTGAAGCCTGTAAATACTAAAGTTATAAAGATAGTCATTGTTGTGATTTGCATTAATCTGTCAAAAATTATGAACAATTGTAAAATTCAAATGAACTTACGCTGCACAATATGGCTTCTTATCATACCCACCATGATAGTTACATATGCTTAAGGCCATCCCACAGTGCTGACAACGGAAGCATCTTCTATGCCATACCTATAACAGTTGTGTGCACATAGGAAAGAGGGGAAAAATCATAAAGCAACAAAAACAAATATGACATGTATCATACACAGCGTATTTCATGGAGTTCAAACATGATTTCGCAAATTTAACTATCTTATTTATGTTAGAGATTTAAAAGTTAGAATTTTTAATAATCATTTTGAAAGGTAAGTTTGAATTGTTGAGAATGTATGTAAAAATGCATATATATAATTCATTTTGTTCATCATGCAAGAGATATTTATCAAACCTTGTGATCGTTCCTTTCCACAACAGCTAGCAATACTAACATCTGATGTGAAAATCAGTGATTTAGTATTTGTTTATTATTGTACTCATTTAAAATAAAAATCGTTAAAAAGAACTGGTTTACTAAATTATCAATTCGGAAGCATAGTAGATCTACTCACGTTAATTAATTAAGCACTTTGTCGGCTTTCAGCCTAAACCAAATAAAATAATTAATTATATGCACTACTAAACCTTTTTACTGTTCAAACAACAGGGAAAGTTATGTCAGAACAAGCTTTAAAGAAATAAAATGTGGTGTAGTTGTTCATTGATTATCGTTTTCTAAACACACAATATTTTATTACCTAGTTGTTGAATAACATCTTACATGGTTTAACAAATAGAATAAATTTTACCATACGAGTGATATACGTTGATTTGTTGCTACTATACATGTGCTATATTTAGTACTTACCTGTGATGAAGAACATTAAACTCAACTTTCTAGTAGTTTTTGTGTAGTGATGTGTTAATTTAAACTGTGTAAAAGACCAAGGTGCCCATAATTTAAGCATTCATACTAAGGAGTTGGAGCAAATGACTAGTAACTTGGTTTACTAACATTCACAATCAACTATCCTCCTCAAATAATTCCTAGGAAATATACCCAATAAACTACTAGCGAACATAAGCAACCAAAGTTTGTATTAATCCTGACAATAAATGCGGAAAACAATCGGTAATCTTGGTTTTCACCTGTTTTTATTTTAAGAACAGGATTTTTAATCTGCAGCGTTCACAATGCTGAGATCAGCGTTATAAAGTTGAGAGCTGAAGGTTTCAAGTGGCTGGCCTAGCAATATTTTAATCAAAATAATTCACTGAACTTGACTTGCACACTAATGAAGAAACGAAAAGTAAGATAAACCATAGAACAATTCAATTTTTTATTTTAAATGTCATCAAAATTATATTATGGGTAGCGTTCAGAGTTTATTATGTCGCGAAATAGTCCAAACGAACTTATTCTGATTTTAGAACTGATTATGGTGAAGCGATGAACCCATTTTACCTTAGTAATTGAATATAGGTTCGTGATTTACTGTTGAATATGTAAAAAATTTAACTTTTAAATGTACTTCGCATCCATTTATAAGATAAAAGAACAATAGGCGTATGCGATTCGAATAACTTTCTACAACTATGCGCAGTCTTGTCTGTTTGTGCAGCTTTTTAACCGAATCCTTGAATTTATTTGATCGGACCAAACTTTTTTCAGAGCCTATATTATGGCGTATATTAGTCACGTAACATTTAACCGAAATGAACGAAAATTAATCCCCGACACATAAAAATATGCATTACGTGAGCATAGTAGAGTTGTAGTGAATCAACTGACAAATTATTAGCTAAAATAGTAATGGACAACCGTGTAACCAATAAGGAAATCTTTTGATCTCTTTAGTTTGTAATGGGAATGTTTGGTTTGCCTAGGGAGTGAACATCTTACTAAGTTTATTTGCACAAGCTAAAGGCCAACTCTATAATATAAATAAAACAGGAATCCCATGCCTACGACACTGCCTACATTATAAAACCAATGATTATTAAAAATATAAGTCTATCTAGTCTCAAAATTTTCAATGAATGTAACTAGATTTAAAATACTTGCTGGTCAGTCTATTGACTGAAACGTTTTTACGGCTTCTTCAAATTCACAAATTCGTTACGTACGATAAAAAATTCATCGTTAGAATACTCACTACTTGTATATTGCATACGTTGTAGGAATGGATTATTTCAGAAAGGTTCAAAAATATTTTCTTACTATATCTTGATTTCCACTGTCTAATTCCGTTCAGAGAGTTTATTGTAACATATTATGAAATAGCTTGGTGCAAACATAGTCTTAACCACTGTAAGATTGTTTATTATCCAATCTTATACAACCACTCACTCCAGATGACTATCTAATACATAAATAAAGTTTTCTGCAGATATGCTTATGCTTTGAGAAAATTACATCAAAACACGTCTCTTTGAACGACTAAAGTTGGAAGAACTATGCTTGCACACGTACACGGCTTCACCATTGAGAGTGCCAATAAAAATTATTATACATGAAAACGCCAAGCAAATGAAATCTAGAGATTAATTATCTTCGAGATGCAAAGTCGAGCATAAGTTTTATCCTGGTTAATGAGCAGATGTAGTTACAACAGTCATATGAGATCATCAGATTGATAAGTCTTTATTTGTCCATAGCCACTATTTACTACTGTCTCATTTTTTCTAGGACACTCTAAAAATTTGAGTCCACCCTGATTTCGGTTTGTAAAAAGGATTTTATCGCGATTATTGTGACACAAACAAGGGTTCCTCTGATCTTATAAAGGTTTCAAAGCCTGTTTTTAAGTCTTGTATAACTTAATCCATTGAAATTATGTTTTTCGAAGTCCCAAATATTCACAAATCAGCTTCTTTATAGAAAAAATACAGTGAATCTAAGATTCCACGAAAACGTATGTTTTGTTGAGTCGCATACATTTTTAAGTTTACGAAAAAAACGATTGACTGTGTTTATTTATTTGATGATTGATACTAATGTTTGAAATTCAAAATGTCCGTATAAGAACATTTTAGGTAAATCTGACATTTTAGATCAATGGAAAACACAAACCACGTTTATCATAACCTTTTAAATAGTTTATCTACTCTCTTGATTTATTGTTCCTACGGCTTTGTGTAACATTAATAGGAATTAATGAAAGACGTTGTGATTAAAACTAGATAAATTCTTAGTGTAAGGAATATAGAATGTTTCACTCCGTCACATCAGATAGTAAAGGTTCTTAAGGACTGTGAGAGCTAAAACCTGGTTACGCTGCCTGCTGATTTAAAATAAAACATTAAATTTAAATGGTTTTACTCAGGAGAGATTCATATTTACGATCCAGACATATGTATTATATAAGTTCTCTCGGTTTATTTAAACCCACATATATGTTTTAAAAATATAGCAAACAACAATATCGAAACTGAAAACAATCCACAAAAAACAACCAAAATAACTTTGTAAGACAACCTGAAGACGTTTCACTAACCTGATCAAAACATCTTATCAATTCCAGAGGATAAACGACTTCGCAGCAAGAAGCACAGACTTTATTTGTGTTCATCATGAATTAAGAGACTGGCTTATATGTTTTAATCGAAATTTAATTTATTGAAAATAATGATTTTCAAGATCTCTGAACTAATGGTGCGCGTTTTTATGTGCTTAATTCAGAAAAGTATACAATATGCATAAGACTAATTTAGTGAAACAGTCAAACATACGATTCAATAATCAATAGATTGGTCACAACCTAGTGTAAACTGAGTTATATCTTTGGTTATTTTTATTTGTAGCATGGAACACTTCTATAATTTTCATATCAATCTGTACAGGTATTCGAAATACATAGTCAAGAAGAGATTGTTTCTCATGGATTTGGACTGAACTTCAGTACATATTTTAGGGACTAACAATAATTTTTCATGGCAAAACAAACAGTTATGGATCTGTTTTGAAATGTCCTACAATTTTAGAGGGTATAGATATTGTGTATTAGTATATTCAAAAAAGTCATTAAACTAACTGATTAAATATCTGTATGGCCCTAACCAAATATCTAGCAGTCAGGTCACAGAATGTTGGACAGCACCGATCATCTTCAAGGCCAAGGCCAACCAACGTTCGGCAGCTGGTTGTACGCTACGAATTGGCTTGTGCGTAAGTGGTCGCACTCTGTTTTTCTGTACCTACTTATACTAATATATTTCTTTATCAACATCCTTTGTGCTGGACGGTCATGAAAGTAGCCATAGAACTTGGATGTGACGAAGGGTGGTCCACGTTATATATCAAGTGTAATGTGTGACTTTGACGTTGACTGGTTAGTCGCACCATTTCTGTATAACTTGAGTAGGCCCCCAGATTGTTCCACACGGATATGTTCCACTCAACGGACTTTCAAATGTTCGTTGGAAACCAACAGAGAAAGGCTATGTTTCTTGCCTGTAGTTGGTGGTGAAGAAGCTGGAAAAATTTGGAAAAACTTTGTGCTACCGATTTGAACAGAAAATAAAGTTAACTCGCGAACACAAGTAGTTGATGAGTAAAAGGTACGTAGAATCGTGGATAGGTATTGATCATATAAGATACCATACATCATGAACTATGAGGTAAAATAAAGAATGCGGCTTTTAAGAAGAATTCGCACCTTCAAAACATTATAAAGTCTACGATCCCGCGATGCTTCCAGAGTCAAAGTGTGTCGAAATTGATTTACTGACCTTGAGAGAATATGTTTAGTGTATGAAAAATTATTTTATTTTTGTTAATGGAAAAGCAAGTGGAGTTAATTCCGAAAAACTTTAATTGTTGCGTCAGACGGTTTACACGGTCAATTCGCTGATTACTTATCATTTGTCTGCTTGCTGAAATTTAAACAATTCAACCACTGTGTAATATTATGAGTCAGTCTGATTGTAAGCAGTCACACACACTCGTTTTCTTGTATGCTTGCAAAATTAATCAATTATTAGCAATACACAATTCCCACAACTGATATTCTGGCTTCTGAAACATTAATAGTGAATTTATAAAACTACTAGGAGATTTGGTGTGCGTAAATACTCAGTCAACAAAATATTATTTATTGGAATTAGATATATAGCAAATAACTCTGTACTGTAGTTGAGCGTCAGTTAGAAAACGAATCATTTTTCTACAATGTCTGGTTCATAATCTCCAACATTCTTCAATGAGAGGAAAACGATGTAGCAGATGCATTACTGAGATTAAATATTGATACCTTTTCAATTTCTGTCATAAACTACCAAGATGTGGTAAAACTTCCGAAGCGCTCATGAAAGAAGGAAAAATTTTGCAATGTGAGAGAACGAAACTCTTATTCCAAAACATTCCTGTAAACGACAAGGACACCTTGAAATGTAATATTTCAGGTAAGACTCGCTTCGTGATACCTTAATACATGAGACCAAACGTTTTCGAACAATCGCACAACATATCTCAATTAGGTATAAATCAACGGTATGGCTCATCACAAATAGGTTTGTATGGTGAAATATAGAAATTTACGAAAATGGGGCACAATAATTCATCCAATGTCAGAACTCAAATGTCCACTGACACATCATGCCTCTTGTGAGAACTTTTCCTTTCGCTAGCGCCAGGATCGACCACATTCATCTTGACATCCTTCGAGCATCACTAATATCCAGTGGTTGTATGCGCTGACTAACATTTATAGACGGATTCACGAGATGTCCCAAAACTGTGACGCTGGAAGACACGTCAGCATCAACATTGGCAACCAAATCACTGAAACGCTGGGTTGAAAACTTCGATGTCCCAACAAAAATTCGACCGACCGTGGAGCCTTGTTTGAAAGTAAAGTGTTTTAGCAACTCACAAACATTTTCGGCATGAAGAGGATTGTAACCATAGCTAATAATCCAGATGCTAACGGGATGACAGAAAGTTTCCACAGACAGCTAAATGTCCCACTGACAGGCACTGGATGTGATTTCAAATGGGATGTCAAGCTTTCTCTGGTACTATTAGACCTTCGCCCAACTATCAAACGAAACATCGGTTGTTGTGCAGCTGAGTTGTTTTATGAATTGACGTTACGTTTGCCTGGTGAACTCCTTGACCGTGCAACAGATATTCCAGCAAACAAAACAAACTACGTGAAACAATTAGAACAGTAGATGGAATCCGTCAGGTCTGTGTAATCCCAAACCTATAAAATGAGATCATTCGTACCACAGAAATGATAGAGCCCTTGCAGACTCCTTACGACTGTTCCTTTAATATCGTCAGAAAATGTTATAAAAAGTCACAGTAGGAAGAGCCAGTAAACACAACACTGTTAGCACTGTTATAGTGGTCCAGTGAGTCTAGAGTTCACTGAAAAACAGAAAACAGCATAATCGTCTAAATCGGCGGCAAAGCAAGCATCAAACAAGGCATCTGCAACAAACACCACTTCACACCGGTGTTCTTCACTAACAGAAACTACAAAAAGATTAGAAAGAAGAGTTTTCGAGTAGGTGGGCATGTAGCAATCATCATATTTACCCAGACCGCATTCTGAGATTTTTCTTAGAACACAAAAGCTCCTTCTCTGTACTATTATCTTTATTTTAACTACCAGAATATACAATTTAAACCATTTGTGCTGTCTGAAGGGAGAATTACAACGCTTCATGATTAAAGCTGAGAGCGATACCCCTTCTGACAACAACAGCAATAATTTTTATAGGTGTTGTAAGGCATTGTAGGAGACCGGAAGAACTATTCAAATAAGAACGCAAATGAGGTGATACGACTTGATAGTGCTCGGAATCAGAGAAACCCATTGAGTTCAAGCCGGATAGAACAGAATACGTTCAAAAGAGATGGTGCCGTGCTCCGGTCAAAAAGATGATAACACGCCGCATACTCAGAGATTTGCTCCGAAGCCGTTCAGAGAGGCAGGTCATACACTTATAGGATGGGAATCTCATGGATCTAGAATCATCAAAGCATCTTTCAAAACAAAGAAGATGAAAATCACAATTAAACATATCTAATATTATGCACCCACCGATGATGGCAACGACGACGATAAAGATCTGTCTTACGATGTACTGCAGTTAATCGTGGAGACGCTCCCAGGAAAGGATCTGACCATCTTGATAGGTTACCTAGACGCCACTGTCAGACGATATGGACTGGGAGCAAGAAACAAGAGTGGTGGGAGATTCGCAAATCTATGTGCATTCAACAAACTGGTTATAAGTGGCAAAATATTACCCCACAAACGCATACACAAAGCTACATTTGTCTTACTAGATTACACTACAGAGGACCAGGTCGATCTTATCTGTATCACTATAGAATTCAGGAGGACAATGAGAGACGTGAGAACCAGGAGAGGAGCTGACATAACTTCAGATCACCACCTGGTTGTGACCGAGATGAAACTGAAGCTAGAGAAACACTGGCGGAACAGCATTATAAAGGTGCAGTATAGACTTCGAGATACTGACAAACAAACAATTCAAGGTTGCCTTCAACAGCAGGTTCCAAGCCTTACATGGTCTACTAAAAGAAGGAGAAATTACAATGGAGGGAAATTGGGTAAGGATCAAAGAAGCTATAATTTCAACGTGTCAGGTGGTGCTGGGACTCGACAAGCATCATCAAAAGGAATGAGTCTCTATCGAAACCCTGGACAAGATTCAAGAAAGTAAGTACAAGAAGACAGCAATTAACAACAGCCGAGCAACAGCAGAGAAAGTCAAGGCACAAACTGAGTACATTGAAGCAAACAAGCAAGTGAAGTGGAGCATTAAAGCGGACAAGCAGGAACTCGAGGAACAGATAGTAGCGACAGGAGAAAGCTTCAAGAGAAGGAAATATGAAACAGCTTTATGATGCAACGAAGATACTGACAGGGACATATTGTAAACCGGAGAGACCACTCAATGACAAGAAAGGCAAGACAACCAATGAGATTCAGGTGCAGAATAACACATGAGGGGAACACTTCGAGGAACTCTTGAATAGGCCAACTCCATTGAATCCAACAGACATGGGAGCAGCACCCACAGACCTTCCATAAGATGTCACTCCAATAACGATGAAAGGAACCAGGATGGTCGTCAGATAAATTGAAGTGCGGGAAAGCGGCAGAACCCGACATATTAGCTGAAGAACAAGAGTCAGATATAGATGCGAATGCAAACATGCTTCACGTTCTACTGAAGAAGATTTAGGAAAACGAACAAGTGCCAATAGACTGTAAAGAAAAATAATTCATCAAGAAATTAGATTTAAGTAAGTGTGGAAAATACAGAGGATTCACACTAGTCAGTACCAGGAAAAGATTTCTACAGGGTGTTGCTGGACCACATGAAGAACTCAGTGGCCGCCCATCTGAGGAAGAAATTAGGAAAAGACGATGGAAGTAGCTGTTGGGACATACATAACGGAAACCATCAAACTGCACCATGAGGCAATCCCTAACTTGAAATCCTGAAGGGAAACGGAAAAAAGGATGTTCGAAGAACACACTACATCAGGAACTGAAAGGAGATACCGAAAGGATTGCCCAGGACAGAGTTTGGTGAAGAATTCTAGTAGGCGACCTATGCCCAATCCAGGGGCAGCAGGTGTAAGTATTCTTTATTGGCTACACGGATTTTCATTATACCCACTTTTTAACTTCATGTGATCCATTGATGTTATGTATATATATGCTTCAACACATACAAGCTATTATTTCAACCTAACACTTGCTTA